CCCCTAGAGTTCATTTAATACATATTATCCTTCATTTCACTTCATCGCTGAGGTATTTCATACCAAGACCACACCACTCACTACAAGTTTAAAAAAAACAAATAAAAACAATCCTGATAATTAACTTATATTTTTTAACATGATTCAAGTAATCACCTGGAAAACAAGAAAGCTCTTTTATTGCTGATATGTATAGCTTTTATCAGTATGTTCAGTACATATACAGGTAAAACACATATTGCCTTGCTGCTGTTGGTCCAGTAGAAGGTAAACTGTAGTTCTGCTTCATAGGACCTTATGGATGTGGATTACGCTGTTACAGGCGGGGCAGGAATGCTCCACATCCTTGCATTCTTTGACGAAGAAGGGGATCACATAGCAAGGCCAGCAGCTGGTTTGAACCAACAAAATGGCATCAAAATAATGATCACATCACATATTACACAGGTTTAACATAAAGCTTAAGTTCCTCGTGTGAATGATCAGTTATGCTGAATGTTTGTTAAAGATTAGGCAGAGTCGATAAACAAGTCTACATCTTGAACTCACAGAACTCACACATCTGTTAGTTGCTTACCAGAACTAATGGGCATGCAGTGAGAAGAAGACTGACTTCAATAACAATCCTCACGTTGTCTTGCAATGTCACCATATTGCCAACGATTTGTTGTTTTGTTTGTAACTATGATGTATGTAGTGATAATATTAAGTAATTTTTGTCGGTGTTTTCAGCAACAGTAACACGTATATTATGGTAATCCCTTTGCTTTTTGCTTTTCAAATATATATTACACCATTTATATTTATATAACAAGAACAACAGGAATTGACATAAACTGCTCTTGAGTTATCTAATATACAATGGAATATTTTCTTTGTACACATATTCCATTCTGGGTCCTAAATTTAATTAGTTTACTAAAAAAGGAAACTTCAGCGTAGACCAAATTCTGTTTTGTTTTGTTTAATTTTAAAAGCTTTCTGTAGACCTGAATGGATTTGAGGTGCATCACACTCTGTAAAACATCTGAATGTAAACTGTTTGCTTTTCACTGTCTCGGTTTTTACTAGAATATTTATAATATATTTATGTGTGGTTGAGTAACCACTCCTGTATGACGTTTTGGAGCGTGTATGAGGGTTTTTTTTGGTCATGTGTGCTGGGGTTTTTAACTCACCCTACAAATAGTAATACGCCAAAAATTATCCAGGTGAGGATCCCAATTTTGTACTCGGTTTTAGTCACAACATCGGTTTGGCAATGAGGACACTTCATCTGTCCAGGAACATCTTTTGGGAGATGACTTTGCATCACCACCACCTGACTCACTGCAAAAACAACAAAGCACACTCTTCTGATGACTTTAATAACAATAATACTTCCTCACTAAAACACCATGAAGACTGGATTTGGAACTATCTCAGTTTTTGCTTAATTTTGCAAATTCATATTGAACTGAAGAAAGACGCTCACCTGGCTGCACAACCTGAGGTTGTAGTGCATTGTATTGGTATGCAGGCTGTTGAACTGGACATAAAGAAAAGATATTTAACTTTAAACAATCTTAACAAAAGCTGAAGAAAACCTTCAACCACACCGACTAAAGTGGCAAATCATAAAAGAGCAATACAGGTGAACTATTTAAATAAAATGACTGGTAGCTTCTGATCTCTCACCAATCTGAACAGCTGGCTGAACAACAGGCTGGACAACTGGCTGAACTGCAGGCTGGACAACAGGCTGAACAACAGGCTGAACAGCGTTGTAGTCCAAAGGGGGACCGGGGTACGGTGGTGCTGGGAAACCTGTATTGGGTACCTCCATAGTGTCTGTTTATAGGAGGAGGGGGAAAATTAAATAGAAAGTACAGTTAAGCTTTGTAATCTGAAAATGAAATAGAGTGAAGAGTGAAAACTTGGCAACAAGGCTGAAATATTGTAAAGCAGTGAATTATATCACAGCAAAAAGCTCCTGGGTTCATATTCAGCTTTGGGCCTTTCTGTGTGGAAGGTGTATCTTCCCCCCGTGTCTTTGTGGGTTCTCTCCAGAGAACTCTCTCCAGACAAAGGACATCATGATTCTAAACAGGCCATAGGTATGAATATGAGCATAAATGGTTTTCTGTCTCTATGCACCGATCCTGCTTTAGATTGGCAGCCTGTCCAGGAAGTGCCCGCCCTCTTGCCCAATGACAGCTGAGATAGACTCACTGACCTGAATTCTTCTGGTTGTAATCAAAAGTAAAGGGTGAAACACAATGCACCTGTCTTACAACAATCCTTTTCATTCAGATGTGTATGCATAACTAATACACCACCTGCATGGAATGCAGTAGTTTTTTATCACTGAAAAAACAAAAGTCAATCATGCTTTGGCAGGCAAGATGACGAAAACCGTCATCATGGTAGCATGAAATGGTGATAATGTGTAATTCATCTCCTACTCTCTGTTTTTTACATTGCATGTAAATTATTGACATATTACGTTTACTTTTTCTTTGTCAAACTATTGTTTCCAAAGATACAAATTACCTTTTATGCTAATTACATTTAAAATTCAAAAACTTTTTCAACATCCCCAAAGAATTATTTCTTATGAGTATATATTTATATTAAATACATTCATGAAATCACCAAACATAATTGTTTGACTTGTATTTATTCTTACCATGTGTTTTCCTAAATATAATCCTAAATCTTTTAGGTCACAGAGATCAGGGTGTTATTTGCATATGTTTTCATAACTGCACCTATTGTGCCATTTCGGCATCTGCAATCCAGAAAATGCACTTGCTAAAATGGGTCACCTACAAAGAACTAAATGTAAAAGTGTACACCACCGAAACAGATCTTATTTAACCTGTCAGTGAGTTGATAAAAAGATAAAAGTTAAAACTTTCCTATGCGAGGAGCCAGTGCCTCTTTAAAAGTGGTATAAACACACATTCCATCACCAGATGTTAAATGGTTTTATAAATCACAGCAAAGTATAAAACGGCACTTGTGTAATTGTGTTTACTTTTTACATTTTATTCATTTTTATTCTTCCATTTTCTCTATTTTCTTTTTTCAAAAACAAAGAAAGCCACCATTCATTGGATCAGTTGTTTTCATATATAACAAACAAAATGATCTTTTACTTGTTATATTTATATTAAACTTATTTAATTTTGTTCTGTTTGTTATTTATATCATACCAACAAGAAACCTTTTGTTTCATATTGTATTAGCACCGTTTTTTATTGTTTGTTTCTTTTTTTTCTTTCTGTATTTTCATAATTTCAGAAGAGACCAGACGGTCCTTACCTTGATGAATTAGTGAGACGTTTATGTGAGCCAACGCGATCCTGCTGCTTTCTCTGATGAGAGTTACTGGGATGAACAAATAAATGTTACAAAAAGAAGGTGGAGCAACAATGTGAGTAGACAGGTATTTCTGTTTACATATTCAAGAATGCGCACACACATACACATAAAGCATGAAACATTCGCACATTGTTTCCAGCTTTTTGAAGATATGAAGTTTGGTTTTCCGGCATTTTTTATACAGGGAGCATATTCATTTACAGGTGAACAGGGAGAATTTATCTTAAATAATAAATAATAACAGCTTCTGTTTAAATATTAATGGTGGTTAACAACAAGTATTCTTAGCATTACAGGAGATTTGGACATCTTCTAGGTTTCCAGGAAGATATTAAAAAAAGAATGAAAATGACCAAAAAAAAAAAAGGAAAATAGTGAGACTGCTGTTATCTCTTAAATGTGTTATAATCTCTTTCCAAAGTCATGGATGTTCAAAGTTTGGAACCAGAAGGAATTGTAGATTTAGAAATGTTCTACAAAGAGGTCACTGAGATGTTGTTCGGACAGGATAAGTGTGGTCAAATGAGACGGGGAAGGTGATCAGGACTGCAGGGGTGGAACTGTCAGAAGGCAGAATAGCAGACACGCAGGGCAACCTGTGTGCCTGTGTATCCCACAGATCAGAAGGCAGAACAGGCGTTGAAGAATACACTGAACATCAGGAATAAGATCCAAGCAATCAGTACATACTCCCTATCAGTAAGAAATGGAAAGAGGAAGTGCAAGAATTAGTAAGTGTCGAGGGCACAATCCAGAATGAAACACATGGAGATGGGCTGCTCCTCAGGCAGCTGAGGACAGATGCTGAAGAGGAACAGGAGGAGGAACTGTCATGAATCAATGTCCCATCCCTTTATGGGCTGTACCATTGACAGATAGAGGAAATGGCTGGTATCAAGATATCCTACCAGTGGCTAAAAAAGGCCTGCTTAAAGAACAGCACAAAAGCTCTGATCATGGCAGCACAAAAATAGGGCCTAAGCACCAGATCCATAGAGGTATGAGTGTACTACAGCTAACAGGACCAAAGTTGTCTGGTACCAAGCACAGAGGGTTAAGAGGCAGATTCATTATCATTATTATTAGTATCATTATTAGTATTATTATTAGTAGTAGCAGTGGTAGTAAAAATTTATAAATTCTTTGGACAGACGTAACCAAGGTACTTGTACCAGAAGGATGGAATATAAAGTATCCTATAAAAGCAGCCCAAGAGGTTCTGTAGGCAAAGAACTTTGATATTCTTCAATGATCAGTCGCCTGATTTGAGTTATTAAATACAAACTGAATGCTAAAGATACACAAATATGACACAACTGAAGGTGGCTGCAGTAAAGGCCTAACAATAGAGAAAACATAGCACTTGGTGATATTTATGGATTCTAGTCTTCAGGAAGTCATTGACTTCAAAGGATTTTCATCCATCCATCCGCTTATCCTTTTCAGGGTCACGGGGGGCGCAGGAGCCTATCCCAGCTGTCATAGGGCGAGAGGCAGGGTACACCCTGGACAGGTTGCCAGTCTGTCACAGGGCCAACACACAGGGACAGACAACCATTTGCACTCACATTCACTCCCGCATTCACACCTATGGGCAATTTACACAAACACAAACATTTTGGTAATGCTCTCTGTGTCTTTGTCCAACAAATTACATATAACAAGCATCCTCATGATTGTTATGTTGACAAATTTGACCAAATTCTCAAAGTTTTGATGTGGTAGTTATCAAACAGCCATCACTGTAAAAGACGTCCTTAGAGATCAAATACTTTATAATGATGAATGAAGTTGTTAGTTTAACTAACACAGCAGGATGAGAAATGAAAAGTGACATAAAATCCAGAATGGCTACCACATGCAAAAGTGAAACAGGTGTGTGAAAGAGACTGAAGTTGTCAGGTAAATTAAGTGAAATGAAATGGAAATGAAAGTAATCATTATTAAATCCACATTGCTGATCTTTATTAGAAATTATTTTCGTCATTTACTTTTATGTTATATTCTAATTGAAGCAAGTTTTGCATCGTAGCTCCCATAAAAATGTTGCGAACAGCCTGCAGCTGAGAGAAATAACTGAAAGCTACTCCATGCAATATTACTTACTGTCCACTTGGAAGAAGCAGTGGACAAAGAGATATGCTGCTGGAACATGGCCAGTACCCCAGGTGTGAAACAATTAAGTACATTCAGTGTCGTCAGTTTGTATTGACAATCTTCACTTGTTGTGCACGACTCCTACGCCACTGCATCTAAGAGAAATTACTTTATAGATCAATAACTTACATTAGAACATGATTGCCTAAAGCTGGGCACTATATGAGCTCGTTGTAAACACTAATTAAGGGCACTGCTACAAGACAGGACCACAAAGATTGGGCAATAATCCAAATATTATCTTACGATGCATCTACCCTCCTCTTGACTAACTACACTAAAATCCTGTTTACACATTACTCACCACTTAACCACTTATTCAACTCAGAATCTTGGGGGAGGATGGAGACATAGGGTGAAAGCCAGGGTACACTAGGACTTGTGTCTAGTCTTTTGGGTAAAGTGAGCATGGTTACAGTTTCACCTGCACCCGTATTTCTATAAAAGTTTCTCTGAGTGAGCGGTGAGATTCTTTCTCTCTTGTCCTCATGACAAAATTTAATGTGAGTTTGCAGAGCCATCTATTTGAGCTATTTTCTGCAGTCATGATGTGTCAGTTACATCAGAGGTTGGAACAATGGATTAGGCATTAGGACTGTCACAAAGAGGCTTTCCTTCTATTGTACAAAGACATACAGGACAGGTCACAAATGTAGGTTTCTAAAAACTGTGGCTGACACACATTAAGGTTGCTTTGTGTTATTTAAAAATGACACTGTGAGAAAAAATCCTTTTTTTCTCTCAGTATAGAGAGTACAGATATAGAGGTCATAGCTGAGATATTGCAGAATAAAGCTACCTTCAGCTGCTCCCTTATTCGGGGGGTCAACACAGTGGGTAGCTCCACAAGTTTGATTTGGCAGAACCCAAAGGGATTTGTGTCTCAAGAAGAAATGTAAGTAATAAAAGATGTTACAACCAATGTTGTATCAATAAACCTTGAATATTATGGACACAAAATGATATTTTAGTCATCACTTTTTAACCAGTAAGGTTTTGTTTGTATTTTGTTGAAGGGTTAACAGTGTGTTTGTGAAATAAAAACAGTCTTCTTTCAGCATATAAAGATGATAGCTTTGAGGAGACAGCACCATTGCTTCTGTCTTTGGTATAAAAGAGAATAGAAATAAAATAATATCTGCTGTACTCCAGGGCATCTTTTTCTATTTTGTGTGTGCTCCTCTTGGTTCGTTCTAATTATGAAAAATGAAGACCTAATACCAACACAGGCCAAAAAGCTAATTACCTTTGGAGTGAGATCCAGTTAGGAAAATAGAATTTACAAAAACATATTCTTCTTTGTTGAGAATGGAGGTGACACAAAATGTCAGGAAAGAGATGGAATCGACAATTCATTATATGGGTCTTTAATGAACGTGAGCTGAAGTTGCTTATTAACTTGACATTACTTTCAATTTGGTTGCTCTGCCACACAGTTTGGAGATCCACATCTCCATGTTGCAGCTGCATACTGTCACGTAGTAGAGGATTTGTCAAAAATATGTGGATCAGCTGGTAATGTAGGCTACGCCTTACCTTTAAAAAACAGATTCGTTATAGAACTTCTTTTTAATTAAGTATGAGAGTGTTAAAAATTATCAAAGCATTTCACCCCACCCACTCCATAAACCCGGTGTTGGCTGTATCCCAACAATCTGCCTCTTTTCCTTGTCTAGACAGTAACGTTCACAATGAGCCAAGCCATGAACACAAATGTGGATGGTCTGGTTTGAACTTGAACTTCAAACCTTTAAACTGTTGTGACTGCACGCGCACACACACACACACACACACACACAGCAAATCTGCATTTATTTGTCCCACAAGTG